TGGATGCCCAGCGCCTGCCCGCCGCCGCCTAGCAGGCACCGCCAGGGTAGAGACCCGCGGACGCCATGGGCTGCTGCAGCTCCGCCGCGCAGGTGAGCGGCCCGCGCCCGCCGCCGGGCCCTGTCGTCCCCCTCTCCTGCCCTGGCCCCGCTGCCCTTCTCCCCTCCCTTCCCATCCCCTCCCCTGGCCCTGCTGCCGGGCCCGGTTACACCCGCCTGCAGGCCTACTGTCCCCCACGGCTGTGCTGCTCCTCCCCCCGTCCCCAGGTCTGCCTCTCATGCTGTCGTTCCGTGGCTGTGCTCCCCCTTGTTCCCCCCATAGCCGTGCTCTCTGCTGGCCGCGCATCCCCTTTTACGCCTCATAGCCCTGCTCTCTCATGGCCGTGCACCACTTTGCTCCTTCCCACCACCGTAGCCCTGTTCTCCTGTGGCTGCGCGTCCCCTTGCTACACCTGTAGCACCACTCTCCCATGGCTGCGCACTTACTTGCATCCCCTGTAACCCTGCTCTCCCGTGGCTGTGAACCCCTTCCTTTCCCTTTCCCTCTCTGCCCCACCAACAGCTCTGCTCTCCCATGGCTGTGAACCTATTGCTTTCCCTTCCTATAGTCCTGCTCTTTCATGGCTGTGAACCCCTTTATACCCACTCCCCCCAAGTCTTGATGCACATAACTGTGCAGCATTTTTCTCCCCTCTGTAGCTCTGCTCTTCCCCCTTATGGCTGTGCACCCCCTTGTTCACCCCTCATAGCCTTGCTCCCACCATGTTACGCACTTCCATCCTCTGCATTGCTCTGCACACTGTTTTGTGTGCTGCTTCCCCTGTGGATCGGCATCATCTTGCCTCTTCTTCCCCCAGGCCTGCTGTGGCTTTGCAATCTTCGCCATTCCCTGCTCCAGTCGCCTGCCACAGCTGCAGCTACATATCTCCAGCTTTCCCCTGCTACCCCGATACTGCCTTGCACCCCTGTCCTATGCTCCTTCCTCCCCTCTGCCATGCCTCGATGCACACCCCCCCCCCCCAATATAGCTCTGCAGTCTGTTCCTTTCCCTACAGCTTTTCCATTGGGGTCCCTACTGCCCCACCCCTGAGAGAAGAGCCATCTCATGGGAGGAAACTTGCCATGTCCAGGGCTTCCCCCAAGTCCACTGCCTCTGGAAAGGGAGACAATCCTAATCCCAGCCCCCTTCCCCACTCTGTGGCCAAGGGTTCATGTGCCTCCCTGCATCCTTTTCTCTGTGTGTGACTGGCCCCATGCACATCTCTTATTTCCGAGCTCGGTTTTTCTTTCTTCCCCCTCCCCCCTTGCTCTGCTTTGCCCTTACTGACTCCTTTTTTTTCCCCCCAGAGTGGTGCTGCCAAGCAAGGCACAATCAGGAGCTCCACCCAGCGCTCCAGTTTGCGGCTCTGCTTCCCATTTTAACTTTCTCTTTGAACAACACAACCAGGGCTATACTGTTTTTTCACTTGACTCCTTTCTGAAGGCTGTAGGACGAGCGATCATGACTAACGCTATGGCTGTGCTTTGCTTGCTTGTAAATGTTAGTTTCCTTTGGCTGTGTCACTTGCGGTGGCTGAATCCAGCTTCCAGCAGACTGCTTATGTGGGAAAGTCCGTCTCTGCTGTCCCAGATGACTCATCACAGAGACGAGTTTTTGTAGCTCATCTGTTCAGGCAGACTTTTTTTTTTTTTTTAAATGAAGGGCTCTGTCCTTCCAATGGAAAACACTGCAGAGAGCTGTCCAGTTGCAATAGGGAACATCCTTTTCATACAGCCAATTTGCTGCAAAGAGAAAGGCAATCAGCTTTATGGTGCATGAAGAAATGGTTTGAATTTCAGAGAGGGAGATATATGCCAAATGTTAGGGGAAGATTTTAAAATTGTTCGGTCACTGCAGTAGACTGCCGGGGAGATTGTGGAGTGTGTATTGTCTGAGGTTTGCTAAAAAAAAAAAGTGTTAGATAAGCATCTGTCAGGAGTGGCGTAAGGAAAGCTGATATAGACTTGGAGCACTGAGAGTGAAGTTGATATTTGAGGTCTTTTCCATCCTTATTTTCTGTGATTCCTATCCAAATTGTTGTTCTTAACTGTTTAATAAGCCCTTTCTAGCTCTTCTTTATGAATTTGTATTGCTGGTCGCTGTTAATGTTCTTTTCTTAAATGAAAATGCAGGCTTATTTGTGGGTAACACTAGACCAAAAGCAGAAGAAATAGACGATCAAATAGTTAAAATATCTGGCTTGTTCATAGGTTTCAACTAGCTGATTTTGTTTTTCAGTTAAATTTGTGTTCTGCTGTCAGGGTGCATGATGTTAATAGTACGCTACTGAACCTTTCACTTGCTTTCCTTATGTGTGGCAAGATATGGTACAGTAATTGAGCTTTGTATCCCATATATGTAACTGAAGCATGAAGAATGGTTGTTTATTTAATTCCTTAGCCATGAGCGATTGTGCGTCTCCTTAGGAAATTCAAATCAAAGGCTAGCTGCTGAATATTTTATCAGCAATAGTTTTGTCTGGTATATTGATTGCAGAAGCCTTGCTACCAACAATACAGCATTACATTAGAGCCTAATGTCTGTCTGTCATAGTTTAACCCCAGCCAGCAACTAAGCACCACGCAGCTGCTCACTCACTCCCCCTGCACCCAGTGGGATGGGCAAGAGAATTAGAAAGAAAAACATAAAACTCGTGGGTTGATATAAGAACAGTTCAATAGAACAGAAAGGAAGAAACTAATGATAATAATAGCAATAATAAAATGACAATAATAATAATAAAAGGATTGGAATATACAAAACAAGTGAAGTACAATGCAGTTGCTCGCTGCTCACCAACCGATGCCCAGTTAGTTCCTGGGCAGCGACCCGCACCCCCCACCAGCCAACTCCCCTGGTTTATATACTGGGCATGATGTCCCATGGTATGGAATACCCCTTTGGCCAGTTGGGGTCAGCTGCCCTGGCTGAGTCCCCTCCCAGCTTCTTGTGCCCCTCCAGCCTTCTTGCTGGCTGGGCATGAGAAGCTGAAAAATCCTTGACTTAGTATAAACACTACTTAGCAACAACTGAAAACATCAGTGTGTTATCAAGATGTAACACTGTACCGGCTACTAGAAGGAAAATTAACTCTATCCCAGCTGAAACCAGGACACTGTCCTACCCGCCCTTTTATCATTAACAACTAATGTTGTGTTCCTCATCTACCACTGTCTTTATGCTTCCCCCTCTGTTATTTCTTCTTAAGCTTTTCTTGAGCAGGGGTCCATCAGAGGTTCCATCATGTTGCCTCACTTACTTCTTGCTTCTCCCTGTGTAACTTCATCTTAGTCTTTGACATACAGTCTCTTATCATGGACATCTTACCATGATTCCTGATGACTTGTTTCTCAAGTTGATTTCTCATTAAGTTTATTCTTCAGCTCTCTAGCCTATTTGATCTTCATCTGCTAATCCCTGTTTCTGTTTCTGAGAGAAATGATTACTTCTGTTTTGATTTTGCCAGCCATCTTATCTGATTACTGCATCTCCAAGTCCCTTTCTCATGACTACACCTCCTCATCTCATTTATGATAATGCAGCTACCTGTGACTGTTGAACCAGGCAAATTTCTTTGACGTCTTCTTCCTAACTCTTATTTCATACTCAATTATGCTTCCCTCCCCCCTACCCCCCCTCCCCCAAATACATTTCCCAGTTCCTTTGCTTTGCAGGCTGTCTAGAGCTCTGTCTTAGGCGTTTCATGTATCTTTTCCCCTGCAGAATCTAAAGGTTTCCAGAGAAAAACTGATTAGACTTGGCATGTTTACTTTTGCTCAGCACTCTTGTCTGCTACTTACAGTGATGGTTTCTCGTGTTTGCTCTCTGCTTTTTCTGCCTTTAACTGCTTAGCCTGACCCCAAAGCTCCATTTGTTCAATTTTTCTGTTTTAATTCCAAATTTCTTTTTTTTACCTCTTGCTGCCGCCTTTTTACCTCTTATTCCCTTCCTAATTTTATTCTGAGTTACCATCCTCCATCCTTAAAGCTGACAGTCAACTCTAGTCTGCTTCCCTTCTTTTCCAAACTCCCAAACAGAAGAATTTACATTTGTTGTCATACATTCCTTCCTCTTTCTTTGTACTAAATTCATTCCAATCCAGGTTCTGTGTTCTGCTGAAATTGCCTTCACTGAGATCTCTGCAGGCCCCTTTTGGCCAAGTTTCAAGGATTCCCTTCCTTTCTTACCTTCCTCGATCTCTGCTGCTTTCCATACAATCTGTAATCCTCTACCACTCGATGTCTTATTGTCCCTGGGCTTCTGTAATACTGTCCTCTTGCTATTCTTCACTGCCTTCTACTCTCTGATTATTATTTCTTCTCCTCTACTGCTGTCTGTGCTGGTATATGCAGTCTTCTTCCCCCCTTTTTTTAACTTATCTCCTATTCTACCAAATTTTTCAACTTGAACTGTTATGAGTGATGTTAACTTAATAGAACCGTACCGGACTTTTTCCAGGTGTGCTCATTCTTTCCTGTTGTTCGACTGCTGTTTTACCTGCTGAGTTGCTTCAATCTGGAATACTTCTGTCCAGTGCATTTCTTTTTTCAATTTCAGTCTTATTCCACGCTCATACAAAGTTCTTGTACTTCCCCTGGTGTAGTATCTTCTGTGATCTACGCTTGTTTTTTATCGTCACAACCAGAGTTCTTGTTTACCTGTTGCTCCTTTTTCCATGTTACAACGGTGTCATCTTCTGTTTCTTTAGGGGCTTATGCTATTCTCTACTTATTTAGATGGACTTAGCTATATTTTTTTTTTAGTGCTTGCTGCCTCTTCACTCTCACCATCTTGAAGCTTGAGCTTGCTGGGAAAACCTTTTGCAATGTCACCTACATCTTAGAGTGGTTTTCTTAGAGCAGTCGACGTACTTTTCATTAATTATCATGACCAGATCCTCCTAATGCTTCTTTGAACTGTAGTTGTTTGGCCAAAGTGTGCGGACCTATAGGAGATTAAAACCTTGTAAAGGACAGGAGAAAAAAACCCACCTCTGTGTATCTCCTGTCTTGCAGTGCTGTTGATTGTCAATACCTTCATGTGGTTTCAGCCC